CAGTCCTCCACTGATCAACTGGTTCCCCAGCAGCACCCCTTGAGTCAGGTATCCTCCAGAACCTACTTGCTGCATACCCAAACTTGACCCTAGCGACGCTCCTCCGAGAACGTTAACATTGAGGTCCTTCTTCTAGAACAAATACTTGTATCATCCAATGCCCAAGTGGTTCAAAATACAGTTTAGTAGCACAAGTTAAAAATGTGTTTAAATTATTTCTCTGGTCAGTAACAGACTTAAAACAACTTGCTAGGTTAATTATACTAATCACTAAATTAGAATAATTTTCTCAAGAAAACTGTAAAAAAATATTTAGGCAAACAGTTTAGAGTACATTTATTCAAGGTTACAATGAATCTACTAAGTACAGACATTTTTTTACAAAGATCATTTTGGTTAAATGTAAATTTATATCTTGTCTTTTGAATTGTTTATCAACCTCCAAATTCAAATGTATGTTCATTTTAGTAAAAAAAAAACATTAGTTTTAAAAACAAGAAGAAACTTACAGAACAGTCCATTACAAATTAAATTCCTAAATTAATTGAATAAATATTTGCTGATTAACACAGCTTTAACTCATCAACCACCAATATTCAAACTTAACTGTGTCTGTACCTGTTTTTGTAGTTGCCCTTGTGTAAGAGTAGATTCCAAGGCAAGATTAGAAGAGTTGGGCAGGGATCTTCTGATCTTCTTGAGGTGTTGTGCATGATGTTGTAATTGCATATGTTGCTGGTACATTTGCTGTTGCTGTGGAGTTAGATTTTGTGCAAACATCGGATGATACTCATGTTGCATCTTTTGAAGTCCAAATTGAGCTTGTTGAAGGAGCCATCTTGTTGGTCTAGCTGATGCTTTTGTCTTTGCTGTTGTAAGATCAACTGATGTTGCTGCTGCACAAGCATGTTCAGATGTTGTTGCTGTTGCTGTTGATGCTGCTGAAGTACTTGCTGGTTTTTATGTTGCTGTTGAAGCTGTTGTTCGGCCTGCAACAGCTGTTGTTGCTGTTGGAATTGCTGTTGTTGCTGTTGTTGTTGGGCCTGCAGTTGTTGTTGTTGGAGTTGTTGTTCTTGCAGAGGAAGATGCTGTTGTGTTCTTAGATATTGTTGTTGCTGAAGAGTTTTATTGTCATATTGTGTTTGCTGCTGATTTGATTGAAAGTCTATTTGGTTTGCATGTGGCAGCTGTGTTGCATTTTGTTGTTGTGATGTTGTTCTGTTAAAGAACGGATCACCTGCTCTTAATGGCTGCTGCTGTTGCTGAGTTTGCCTATCTTTATTGAAATGATAATCTTGTGCATATTGCTGGGAAGACTGTTGACCATGTTCTGAGTCTAATCTCTCTTCTGTTGGTGATGGTCTGGAAGGTGAATTTCCTCCTAGTCCTGTGAAACAGAAATTTGTAAGATAACAACAAAGATTCATAAACTTTGTTTTTTTTAATCAAACCCTTACAATATTATGATTTCTCTCACTGAAGAATAATATTTAGCAAACAATTATGACAAAATCAAATTAGTAACCAAATGTCACCATTTTCGCAAGCTGTCTACTGAGGGATTTGTAAAATGTAAACCCTTACAGTACCATTGTTCTGGCAAATTGCCAACTGCACTTTACAAATTGTTTTCAGTGGTTAATCGTTGAAGCAACAGAACCTGAAAAGCATGACAATGAGTTTGAAAAATTTCAAATTGGATTTTTTTTGTAAGATGTTGGCGACTTCTTTTAACATTATGGAATTTTCACACCCACATGGGATTCAAGGGCCTTTGTCATAGTAATTTATTCTCTGAATAGATAAGCCTACAATTTGTTAAAATCATATATATCCAGTGCTCGATATGCGTCGGAACGGAGTTCCAGTACCTACCTCTCTTTTGGAATGATAAAAATATTGGTATAAATAGGTACTAATCACATTAACAAAAGTTACAGTTCCGGCACCTCATTTTTTACAAATCGAGCAATCTACATCTGTTGTCAAATTGAATAATAAGATTTCATAAATAAGATACACAATGCCATATAAAACATGTAGATACAATCAGCCAGACATAAATTCTATTAAACTATATGGTTCTTTTTGTACAAGGTATGTTTTCAAACATTGTTTAAACTTTTTATTGTCATGGCATTCTTTTACACTGGTTGGAAAACAGTTAAACATCTTTACACCCACTGAAAAGTTATCTTTCAGACAGGGATAGGGAGATTTGTGAAGAAAAAGATATGATCCATGCCTGGTGGGATACCTATGTCTATCTCAAACAGGAAGAAGAGACCCAATTTTATGCTTGATGAAAAGGAATACTTTAAAAACAAAAAGAGAAGAAAGCGTGAGAATATTAAGATTTCAAAAACTCCCCTTCAAGAGTGCATGGGTGGGAGACCAGATAAAATACAAAAATCTCGTTTCTGTTCCATAAATGCTTTGTTTGCATATGTGGAACCTCCTAAAACCTCTGTCAGAATGAAAGAATCCGTTGTAAACATTGATCAGGTACCTATTTTTGATCAAGGAAAGAAAAAAATGTTCTCAAGTCAAAACTCACTTTGCTCAAACGACCACAAATATATGAAATATGTGGTTATTAGCTGAGAATCCTTCACAACGCCTAAAAACTTGACTTCCGAAAGTTCTTTATTGAAGATAGCCTAATCGTAGTTTTGAATGCAGAAGTTTTTTTTTCATATTAGAAATTGGAAATAGTTAGTTTTACTCTGATTCAAAAGAAGATTATTATTAAAAAGCCAGTCATCAAAATTTGTAATTGAAGAAGACACATATTCCTGAACAACCTCAGACGAGCCCTTAAAAAGCATAATGGTTGGTATCATCCGCATACAACACTAAGGAGTTGGGACAAACATAATCACCGACGTTGTATGGAAAGTATCGAGCAAAGTATGTTATTGGGTATGTTGCTTGCCTAGTGGTTAGGGTCTTGAACTTTGGTGCGGGATGGATGGGTTCAATTCCCAACACATCCACAAAACATACACGTTTGGACCACTTCCCTAAAAGAGTTTGTGAACTCTCTTTGATAACTCTGGAAAATGTCTCTAGCGTAGACAACAATAAAAAATAAAAAGCAAAGGATGAGCCAAGACGGTTGAAGAATGAGTTCCATAAGCAAATTTTAAGTTGCCTTGGTTTCATAGTCTGTCTCGCTATCAACTGAGCTACCGAGTTACAATTTTCCTTACAATAGGATACAAACTCTCTTTCTTCTCAGGAAATATGTTCAGTAGAAGGTGATTATGTGGCTCTTAGACTAGTAGTCCTACAAATTAGATACAGTAGAGTCCCACAAACTCGGTACTCGATAACCCGGCAGTCTGGATAACTCGGCCATCACCTGGCTCAAATAATTAGTGATTTTTTTAATGCGAGTTAAACAAGGACTCAAGTCAGCGCAAGTAAAATCATTCACAACTCGTACCAAGGATTGTTGTACTATATCTGATGACTTAATACTGACTTGTAATATAAATATAAATAAAGAAAGGTGGTTAAACGCTTTAAAATTGCATTGTTCTTATTTTTAACCCTAGTTCCCCGATAACCCATCATTTCACAAACTCGGCACCCTTCCAGTCCACATTACGCCGAGTTTACGGAACTCTACTGTAATTATAAAATCTTCATTCATGCTAAAATCTAATAGGCACAGTTCTCTATAAATAGTTTTTTTTTATTGCTATCCTTATTAGAGCACCAAAATTAATAATGACATATAAAATACTAACATATGAGCAGGCTGCACTGCCAATGTACAATTATCAAACCAGAAATATCAATAATATACTTACCAAGTGCTCTGCTGAAGTCAGCTAACATCCCACTAATGGTACCGGCAGCAGGTTTGTTTTGTCCAGCGTTGCCCTGCTGCTGTTGTTGTTGTTGCTGCTGCTGCTGCTGTTGTGTTTGTTGTTGGTTCTTTTGAAAATTTAAGGGGTTTATCTTGCTTCCAAGTTCATCGAAATAATCTCCCTAAAACACCAAAAAGAACATAGTGACAGTTAAGTTTTTATTGATCTTAACTTTTGAATAAAAAACAGATATATCTTAGAAAATTTATAGAAAATTTAGTTTGTCATTCAAATAATTTTAAGTATTTGAATATTTTTATTTTTAACTATTTTCTATAGCAATTGATACACTTGAAGGCTACAGTTAAGAAAACACATAAACAAAATGTTTCTATATTTAAACCTGTTTGGTAGTGAATTTTATCAGCATGTTTATTATTACAGAAAGAATGTGTGTTGATGAGCAGTAACATGAGTTTTCTATTGTATTTCGAAGTGTTTGTTTAGAATATTAAAATTTACTTGATAATAATGAATTTTAAAAAATGGTTTCAAACTGTAATATGTTACAAATAGTGATTTAAAGTTAAATTGTCAATCATTAAATAGCAAACAGCTATTAGTGAGGTATTTGACCCAGAGTCTATAAATTAATGTTTTTGTTTTTCACAAGAAGATTAATTCCCTTTCCAATAATTATACCTCTTCACTCAAAAGAAGAATTTTCCAACTGAAATTGCCATAATCCTTACTTTTTCAAACTTCTTACATTCATTATTTGTTTAAAACTACTGAAGTTCAAGAAAGACAAAATTACACTTGATAAACAATACAGTACATGCAGCTGGCGTACATTTTTAAACTTTTAATAATCTTAGACCACTAAATAAAATATAATTTTGTATTAATTTGTGCCCACATTTTTAGAGCTCCGCGTTATTACTTGGCCCTAATTGAAGACTTCTTAATGCATATTGAAACTAGCGGTAACAATTAATTTTATATTTAAATTATTAATCAGTGAAGAAACGAATTAAATAATTGAGAATAGTTTTGAATTACAAGGGATAAGAAGTGAATAATAAACTAATGATAAAAATGAACTAGCAATTTGGACTGGGGACTATGAAGACAATATTTGAGTATATAATTTTGGATGGATCAGGATGAAAAACCTAGATCCTTTAGAAAAGAGAAAAAAAATTATATACAAGTAGATAATAAAAAGAATACAATACAATAAACAGGACATTAGCAAGCCTGATGAATGTAACAACACAACACAACAATCTTAACATAATGATTTCTAATGTGCATTTAAGGAATGAAGTTAGACAAAAGTTGACTAGCCACACAAATACTTTTAAAATTAGAGTTGTGTAATACATCAATAACCATGCTAGTGCCAAGATTTTCATGGCTATTCAACAAATCGCCTTTCATGAAACATGCATGTCACACCCCTAATTTTCCACATAATCTTACACATTTCAACCAATTTGTTAATTTAATTTCATTGTGTTTTAGCAAATATCTCCAGAGGTAGTAATTACAAGGTAATTACCATAGTCTTTAATGTTAAATATGGGGTTGACAACTCTGCACTTTTTGCTTAAGAGTCTCCAAAAGTCCAAACCACTGTTTCTTCAGATTGTGATATTTAAATGTATCTGCTTGTACAACAACTCTTGTAAAAAATCGAATGAATCTCTAGATTTTAATGAAGTGGATCAAACGTTTAAACAAGATATATTTGAATTAATTTGCTAAATGTCCTGATGCAGACATGGTAAGTGGGATTTTAGGGAGGATTTTGCCTTCTATAGCATATAATATAAAATATGAAAAGTTTTTCTACTAATATTGGATGCGAAGATTCTTCTCAACCTCCACCATGTTACCCTAATTGCTATAGGTTACTTGTTTATTAAGATATCTTAGTAAAATTTTGAAAATTTCTTTAACTAACTGTAAGTTTTTAAAATTTACACAACAATATTTTGTGTTAATCTTAGTAGGAAACCAGTATATATTCATTCTTATTCATAAAAAAGAAAAAAAATATGTTGGGTGTCTTATTTATATTTGGGATCTATGAGTAAATTGAATTTTATGATGAACCTTTTTGAATAAACACATCTATAATCAACATATTTGCTTAGTCTACAGGTTGGATGTGACATATATGTTTCTATACTTTTGGATTATACTTAATAATCCTTCAGATAAACCAAACAAATAGCAAGCTCAGCCAATATCAACATTTAAGTCAAATTAAGCGCTTAAGTTTCTTTTAAATCAAAACGTGTCTCAAAATATTTATTTTGTTAATTCTACAAGCTCCTACGTTGAATTTTAAGATCACAAAACCATTTTTATATACCTTTACGTGACACTAAATCTTTTAGTAAATGTGAAAATGCAAGTATGTTTACCAGAGAGTATTAAGGACTTAGGGTAAAATAAGATGACCTCTGTGTATTGGAGTGACTGTTAAAAGTAAGAAGTGGACATTTTCAGTTTATTTGGGAAATTTTGACACTTTTCAATAGGATTGTGTTTTATTAGTAGTTTATTAGCCCACTTGGAGCTAAGCCTACATCTAAAGGTTAATCAAACACTGGAAATCTTCCAGAAAGTCTGTCACTGAAAAGGTTTTGTACTTGTCTACCGCAGTACGTTTTTAATAACCATTAATTTTTAAGATAGGTCTAGCGAAAATAAGATAGGTTAAGCAGTTATATGCACCTCACAAATAAAACCGGTCTTGTGATTCCTTAATGTAAATTAACCTTAAATTAGATTGGTAAATCTTTCATAAATAAAAGACACTAATTAAATTATTGCACAGAAGAAGAATTTAGGACAAGATGATGTAGTTTGCCTCTGACATGACTGAATGAATGAATAAAGCAGGTTTGTTTAACGACAAAAAGTAGTTTGTAACTTTTGCACAATAGTAACTAGTACCAAAAAAGAACATAACACAGAATGTAGCAGCATATTAATAAGACATTTAAAGGGTTTGGAACACTTCCATAAAAAGCTTTTTTCTTCTCTTTGTTTAAAATAACACTGCCTTTAACACAGAGACAAAAAACTGTAAGGGTTGTTAGGACCGCAAGTAGAGAGAAAAAGTTGCACTATGTTCCAGAATAGAAGAAGAAGTTGATTACCATTTAGATGCATGGTGTATTACAAAGATGTTGGATAATGTTATTCACATCTCTTCTCTTTACATGATAATGCTGCTTTTAGTGTAGTATATTCACACAAAAAGCTTATAAAATCATACATATGAGCATTGCATTTCATTGTAAGCTCGTAAATTGGTAAAGACCATATATGAATTAAGTCCATGCAAGAATATATTTCAATCCCATTTCCTACTAACAGTGTAGTTTACCATATTACATTACACTTCATGGGGGTATTTTATTGTAAGCTTATTAATTGGTATAGACAAACCATTGATTAAGTGGGCACAAAAATATCTTTCAATCCCACTTCCTACAAAAGATATTTGTAGTTGACGATATTACATTTCCTACACTTCATGGGGGCAGCTACTAGCCTAAATCTCTTTCAAATACACCAGAAAGTTGTTGTGATAGGTAAATTATTACTGGTGTAGATTCCACCACACTTAACGGCAACATTAATGAGGTGTATCAATGAGGTACATTTGCACTCATACAGGAAATGTGTAAAAGTCCAGGGCTGTAGCTAGGGGAGGATTTTGACATGGGGAATAAGTGTCTATAGCTATCGCTGTGGTACAGAGTGTCAAACTAAGGTCAGGTTCATATGAGTGACACATCTAGCTGTCAAACTGTGACTAGAGTTTGCTGCGGCCTAGCAAAATACCAGTTCACACTAGCGGAAACTCCACCGACTAGATTGCAGGCATAAACAAATTAGTAGCCTATCAATAACAGATTTTTTTGAAAAAACAATGTTTTTTACATCGCTAGAAAGTGACCGATGTTATGGAAAATTATCAATGATTATTTTTCAACAAAATTTGCATTGGAATAATGACACTCAGTTGATAAAAATTCAATTAAACAATGACAAAAGTTTTACTCCTCTTATTATATATCTCATTCAACTGATTTTGTTGTTGTTGTTACTTCTCTTCTAATACAATTTGTTCTATGCAATTTAGAATGTTTGCTAATTTCCTTTTAATAAACAACGCTGTTTTAAAATTAACATCATCTAATGGAAATCAAAAGATTTTTTTATTGAAACCAAAAGATCATTTTTTATTATTTAAACCAAGACGATTTCAGTTACTAAGACCCAGTGTTTTGCAGAAATCTCGTATCTTTGATGCAGCTGGCGTCTGTTCTGCAAATTCATATATTTTCCGGGAACCTATAATTTAATCTTTGCGTAAACAATCGATTATCGCTAGTCTGTTTTCAACCATGGATGCATTTAGAGGGAGACATGGGATTGTAGCGTATTGTAGTGTATTGTAGACAAAAACTAAATAAGCTTTGCACTTCAAAATTAATACTAATTAAAATAAAATAAGTATCAATAAAACGTGCATGCGGTTCTAAGCTTAAAGTTAGATGGAAAGATTTTGGATTAATAAAGAGTGTGACTCCTCAACAAATCTCAGACAGTCTAATATTTCTTGACAATAAAGTGACTCAAAAATTAAATATTGTCAGTGTTGTCCTAAAATCCAAACACAGCTGGTTTGATATTGAAAAAGATTTATTCCAAATCCAGAAATTCTTTCATCAGGGTATCAACTAATGATGCTTTCTAACAATAGGACAACTTGAGATATAAAATATTGGAATATGGTCAGTTCCTTAACATAATTTAAAATGCCACAAGCACAAATACCAAAAACCTTAAGATACAAGAAAGTAAACATTATTATTGCATGTTATAGAACAATATCTTAGTATTCCAGAAATGGTTACTTAACATCCCTGAATTCAGTTAGACAAATTTTGAAGGAAAAGGGTATAACGAAATCCATATTCAAATAGTTCTATTAAAGAAGATGTCAATCCAGTCAATTAATTAAAATTAATTGCAATACCTCAGGGCATAACAATTTAGCACATAAGTACTGATACAGTAAACGTACCAGATTTTAATAATTACGTCTGGTTTTGGTTTTCGATCACAGTCCATTTTATATAGCCTTAGAGGGTAGGATGTCAAAATCAATTGTTCCCCAAGTACTAATCAACCTAGCTACATCCCTGATCAATTTAATTCTATTTTGTGGACACCCTGTATGTCAACTAGCCTCTAAGAAAGGAGATTACCTGGTGTTGGTGATCATCGCGTTCTAGGGACGGAGAAACGTCCAGGATGGGGGACAGGATGGAGCCTGGAGCCTCGAAGCGAACCCCTCGAAACTTCCTACGCTAGGAGACATGTACCCACCAGCTATACCTACTTGCTTTGCTCTCTAGCTACGTTTATTGGACGTTTTAAATCATCAGTGAGAATTTGGGGGGAAATGCAGAAAATGTATCAGTTATTCTAAGAGATGTTTTACATTTGGAATATTGACTTTAGTGAAAAGGTTATTGGCAATGTAGAGTTTTATGCTTCATCCACCACAATGTTTGGCATTTAATAATGAAAGTTTTTTTTTTTTTGAAAATTGACAGTTATATGGTATTGAGAGAGACAGGAGTTTGATTTCTCGAGTTGTTCTGTAAACATTCACTTATGTCCAACTTACTAGTAGTTAAGTTTATGGTAATTTAGTAATGTGGCAGATAGTGAAAGGAGCAATGTCTTTGGCTTCCCAGTGTTACCATTAATATTAATAACTACTGTTGATCCTTCAACTGTACAGCTTGTACCCACCTTAATTGTCTTAATGTATTCCACACACAGGCCTCTACGACCAATGTGGACGAGTCAAGCTAACAGTTCAAAAGAGGTAGGTAGCAAACCTCTTTTTAATTGAAAAATATTCTCTATAATAGTCATTTGTTGTGAAAAACTATATAAAAATCTACAAACTAGCAATAATGTTCAATAGAAATAAGTGAGTACTAGCTTTCTTTTGGTTTTAATATTCTTTAAACCTATGATAGTATTCAGAATCTACAATTTGACGCGCTTTTACCCAAATGCAAATGATTACCTAAGAATGAAGTAACAAAATAAATTTATAAATAAGTACTGTAACAGGACTAGATTAATTTTCTTTACTCTGAAAATTAAATTAATTTTGAATGCATTGTTGTTAACCTGGATAATTTTAAGAGGACGTTCATGATACATTTTAGGCAACAGACCCACTGAAAAGGATGTCATATTTGATTGAAAGAAATGATTATGTGTTCTCAAAAAATACTAAGTTTTACTGAAGAAAATTGGTGTGCATTTAAATACTTTCATTATTAACTGTGCAAAAATGTTGGGTGCACATTTGCAAAGACGACCAATGTGAAATTTGTAAAATGACAAAACACAAAATTCACCTCTAAAGTGACTATTTATCAGTTCAATGTGTTTGGTACATATACTATCATATTTCAGTTACATCCTATATATTATTAGAGTTGAAACATTAAATTCTTAAACACTATTAAACAAGTTTTCATGGTTATTGCAGGCTCTCGGTATGCATGTGTGCGCTATGGGCCTGAGAAATGATTGCGCCTTCTGTATCTACCTTGAGTTGTGCCTCCCACAAATCTAAAACCTCTTCCGTCCCAGGGCCCGAAAAAGTGCCTCTGGGTTATTGATAAGGTTATAGCGTACTTCGTAGAATCAAATTCTGTCTTTGAGTTGAGACCTATTGTCAGTTCTTTAAAGGATAATCTAAAGAGATTATTTAAAAAATGTAATGAATAAGAACGGCTGTTGGATAAGACAATGAGAAAGTCTTTTCTCGACTAAAAAAGTGGAACTGCTAAAAGATTTTAATATAGGCAATTTATTTTTTAGGGTTAAGGGAGAAGCTACAGCCAAAACTACTTTGTACGTTCAGAGTACAGTGAGGGGCAGCGAAAGGTCCCGTCTCGATGTACCCTACAGGGTACAGTCATACCACAAGAAAAAGGAAACACAATTAGATGGGAGTCAATCATCTACGGGGAAGGTCCCATAATACTGATGGTCAGATAACCGAAGACCGGATGATCGAGAATCTACTATATAAAGCTTAGCTGAAGAAAAAAAAAAATATCTTTATTACTTGGAGTTACAAGAACAATTTTGGTACAGTGGACATTTAATTTCTCAAGCTATAGTATATATTCACATTGGTTTAATTCAAAATATAACTTTTGAAAGCTAAATAAAGGGGACTCTTATACATATATGCAAGGTTTATATTAATGGAGTTTTTTGTAAATATTTCATGAAAACTATTTAATGACTTAAGAAGAACTTAGCCTGAGCCTGGGATTGTTAGAAATCAATTTATAAAATGATCACTATATTTGATGATGTTTTAAATGATTGTTCAATGTACATTTTCATTTTTTTATGTATTTGGCCATAATATTGGATTAATTTTTTATCCTTAAGTCACAATTCAGTACTAGGTTTATGTTTTGGAGGATGTTGTAATTATCTTAGATAATTAACAGAAAATCATAATTTTTCCACTTTTCCATTCAAAATCTAATCCCTCAACTCAATAGCAATCAAAACAACACAAATATAAATAACAAATTGATTTTGTTGATATCAAATCAAGTATATTGTATTAAGTATAGTGTATATTGGTAAAATTAATTGTTTTATGGGAATCCAACGTGGAAACATATTTTATCAAAGTACAGCAAGACTTGTTGTCTTATTTGCATTATCTTAGGTTGAAACCCTTGATGATACTAACAAATGACTTTCATTCACACCCTTTGCTTTGCTAGTCCATTCACTCCCTACCTTTGTCTCCCGCCTTCAAGTCGCCCATTTAATTTTTCCCATGTTGAAATGTGCTCCACTGCTAAAATGTACTAGTCAGTGCTGTGATAATTTGTTTATTGCAATTTTCTTTTGGATTAAGAATTAAAAAAATGTATTTTAAATGAGAAATGACAAAAGTAATCAAAAATTAATTCTCTATTCAAGATAGAGTTGTAATATAAAAACATTTTAATATTCAAAAGCCATTATTGGAGGACATAATTTGATTACTCACTACTGCAATTAGTAATTATTCTTGTTATTGTGCTGCTTTACGAATTTTCAATATATTTAATTTGTTTAGTTGTCTTTTATACAGTTAATTGATATAAATACCAAACAAATATGGGTATATGGATAAACAACTTAAGTAACTTAAATTCAGGAGTATTTTTACTAATAACTATATTTTTTCTATACAAATTATCATCTTGCAAATCATTTCAGTATTTGAATAGACTAGTAGTAAATGTGTGAGTAGAGAAATAAAATTTTACACCTACTACACTAATTTTTTGAAGAGAAAAATTCTTTGAAATATTACACACAAAAAAAGTGTATATATTATAACGACAATGAAAATTTAATTTAGGCTAATGGTGTCATTATAAAAATTCACATTTTTGTGATTACACGTTAAAATATTAGATTTGTTCTTCACTAGTGATGAAAAACGTCCACGTAAACGGCACAATATTTATAATACATACTTAAAATATAAAATTAAAGTTTATGTAACCCTGTTCATATAGTTTCAAAAGTGTTTGTAATATAAATATAGAATTAGATAGAAAGCCTATGTTTCCTTTTGTTATTTCATAAGTTTGAAAAGTTAAATTTATTTTAATCCAAAAAACAATTGTTGTATTATTATTTTGAAATAAAACATTTTAATAACTAATACTTAAATGTCAATTCTTTTAAAGTTATTTAACAAGATGTTAACTGCTTTGAACTATCAAGGATGTCCGAAAGAAGAAGCAAATGTAATAAAAAGTTACAGATAATATTGAGCGAATCATTTGAAAGGATAGTCATTCAAATGGGTTTAGTGAATACATTTTTGAAATTAAATTTTCCAAGTAAGTAAGAAAACTTGTTAAACCCGTGAAGAAACTTTTTTAAAGTTTTAATGAGTTTTATTTGAGTTACATATTTACAACTGGATATTATTTTCAGTTTACTTGTATTTTTTACTTTCTTTTTGTCAAATTGAATTTATTTCTATAGGTATTCCAAGAAGCAGAGTTAAAGCAATACTAAACATTTATTGTTCTGTAAAAGTAAAGCAAAGAAGTTCCATATACTAAAAAGCATTTTCTAAGATAAAATGGACACAAAAACCTGAGGCGAGATTTGATAGCAATTATTTGAAAGCTAAGCACAAATACTTGGATTTGGTTGCCATAAAGACTTTTTTGTGGAATAAAGCTTCATAGTATAAAATACTCCGTACAGTAGACTCCCTCTTATTTGGACACCTTTTAACCAGACATCGGTTTAACCAGACTACATTTGGCGGAAATGACATCTCTTTAACTGGACAATTTGTATCAGCACATCAGTTTAACCATACTAGATCGGCAGGAAGTGGGCGGTACTGAAACAACTGTTCTCGTGGGAAAGATTTGAGACCAGTGATCACGTGTCTAAATACAATGCTCTCCTATATATAAGTCAAATACTGTATACAGTATGCATTTAAACAGTCAGTTTAACGAGTTTTTGGGGACGTCGGTTTAGCCGAAAAAACCATTATCCGGACTGGCCTCGGTCCCGAGGTGTCCAGATTAGATGGAGTCACTGTACGTTCAAAAAACTTTAACCAAAAATTAGACAATCATTTTATCATCATTTAGAAGAGATAACCATTTTCAATGTTCATTATAGTGTTTGTAACTGTTTTTACAGTCTTACGAATTTCTATAATAATATTTTTGTTATCAGTATTAGATCAAAAAGTGTTTAAGAATACTTTGAGTTGTTGAATCCACAAACCAATATACTCATTGTTAAAGAAAGCAAAATTAAGATTTTATTTAGATTAAAGAATTTATCAAAACCCAATCAGGTTTGATAAAATACTGCCTTAACAGTGTAATAATTTCAAAGGATCAATATTATAATTAATATTTACTAAAAGATGGATGCATTAATTATATGTAAACATTAAAATAATACAATTTAAAACTAGCAAATTATTTAAAAGACCGACACAACTTTTTATATTGATCTTTCGGACATCCTGAGTGTGTTTACTGTTACTGGTCACTCGTAAAAAAAGGATTGAATTTTTTGCAATGTAATCAAATGTAATGTTTGTTCTAAATTCAATAGTTCTAATTTTGGTATAATTATTGTAATTTTCATTTATATATTGAGCTATCTATTTCCACGTTTTTGAAATTTGTTTTAGATTACAAACAAAGAAACTATCACATATCGGCTATTTTACAAAATGAAGTTTCATATTATTAGCAAGAAATTTAACTATATTATTAGACTTGTTATTAAGGCAAATTTCTAAGTGAGGTAGGCTATGTATTAGCAAAGACTGCAGTACAAACTGCAAAATTAACAGGGAATGTAATAAAAACTAAGATATTAAAAGATATGATGTTTTACTTTGTTAATGTAAAGATTGTTAAGTTATTGTATTATAAGTTGTTGTTATTTAAAAAATATTAACTAGCTATTTATATTTAATATTTAATATTAACAAATTATATTTAGTTTCAGTTTGGTAAAGTAAGTTTAAACACCTCTAACATACAAGTGTCTTGATTAGTTTATAATTTAATTTATTACCTTTAGTTCAGTTATAAATTCACCAGTAAATGAACCCTTTTATACCAACCCATTTTTTATAAAAAAAAGGCGAAATTAGAATTAGCTCTATTGAAATATTTGTATTATTTACTTTGTTATCGGTAATATACATCTCGTAGAGAATACCGTTGTAAGGATTATTTCGTGTTGTATTAGTTTGTTTTATCAGCACAAAATGTCCATAAAAAATTAACTTACGTTGCTGGCAAGTGGATAGAAGGTGAAGAATTTTCAAAAAACACAAATTTTTTACTATGGATGGTTGTTACTATAAAGAACTCAAAATTTTCAACTTTTGTACAAAGCTACATGAAAAAGAGTTATTACTCTTAATTCAAATTTTAATTTTGGTTTCCTTATTTTGGGGTTTGAAGCACAATTGAGATTTTCAGTTTTGTTATTAGTTGGCTAACGGTTTTTTAAAACTGAAATCTGTTCACACACTTATTTGTAGATTTTAATACACTGTGATAGCGTTTTCTCATTTCCTAGTTAACAATTTTCTTAACAATTTAGATTTGGGCCAAAGACTACCTAATTTTAACAGATTGGGTTATATTTTGACTCCCACAAATGTTTTATTATTCATAATTATACAGGTTTACTGATGTATAAACGTACTGTGGCGTTAGTTTTGTCCAATGTGATGCATTAAAAATTATATTGGAATGTATCTATACCGGGTGTTTCAAAATGAATGACTCGGTTTTAACGCTTTATAACTTTTATTATACTATTAAACTTACCGCTATAAAATACACATCAAACAAAAATGCAACTCAAAGAGTTTTTGCCTTCCAAAGACACATTATTTAACAAAATCGATCCAGCAGAAATGTAGATTGGATAGTACAAAGTTAAAAAGTAATTTCCAACTTTTTTACCACTAGAAATTTGGAGGTTACTTGACGTTTTTGCAAACAACTTTTAAATGGTGAGGAAATCGACCAAAGTGGAAGATAATAATCCAAAAGAGAATAAAATTTCCTACAATCTACTATTATGCATTTCTTGAAAATACTCAAGAAAAATACCAAAAATTGCCTCAAAATGAAAAAAAATTGAAAATCCCGTCTTCAATGTAGACAATAGACATAGCAAACATTAAATTTCACACTTTTTTATTTTAAGGCAAATTTAGGCTACATTTATTGAGTATTTTCAAGAAATGCACAATAGTAGATTGTAGGAAATTTTATTCTCTTTCGAAATATTACCACTTTGGTCGATTTCCTCACCATTTAAAAGTTATGGTAAAAAAGTTGGAGATTACTTTTTAACTTTGTACAATTAAATCTACAGTTCTGCTGGATCGATTTTGTTAAATAATGTGTCTTTGGAAGGCAAAAACTCTTTGAGTTGCATTTTCGTTTGATGTGTATTTTATAGCGGTAAGTTTAATAGTATACAAGTTATAAAGCGTTAAAACTAGGTCATTCATTTTGAAACACCCGGTACTTTCCACAAACCAATTGAATACATTTTAATAGAAAGTAATCAAATCTACAATTATTTATCCCACAAGACTTTGTTTCTGATAGTCTGGCATTGTTGTAGGGGTGAGCCGTTAGGTATGATTGGTGGTAGTGGTTTGTGGTTTGGTGGATCCATGGTTTGAACTCCTACTCGGTTGTTAGTTTTGGAATGCAACCAATGCAACTCATCCGTCTAGGGGCAGGTATGTGAGAGAGGTTCCCATACTCCGTGTGACCAGGACAAGTTTATATATTTTAAAATTTCATTTTGGTGGGAAGTTTTTCTTTGGTGTTTGAGAATTAATTTATCAATAATATTGCTCTGATAATCGTTAGCGACAGCAATGTGTTTAAGAATGTTTATTTCATCGTTGTAGTCAGATGGACTCATTGGCACTGAAAGGAATCTGTGTACAAAGCTATTGTAGGCGGCTATTTTTTGTGAATGGGGATGATGAGAGTCTGCGTGGATGGTTTGGTTAAAGACCAATGCGACCTACAAAAGCTGACTGATAGCAAGACAAAAGGAGTGACATCATCGCACCGACCGACCACGTTGACCGGTAGTCTATACTTTGCATCCATCCGGTCGTGTCACATCATTCCTTACTACAGTACAGTTACCGTTTTGTTAGTTTTAATCGTGTTAAATGTGCCATTTTTACGTTTTAATGTCCGTGTTCCTGTTTGTGTTTTTATGTACTTTGTGTGTAATGACGACCTTCATATGAAGTGACCACCCTTTTGACATCCTTGACGCCTAAAGATGACTTTGAAGAAAGTCGAAACTAGTTGCGACATTAGCAACAATTAGGATTACTACGAAGCAGGTATTTGCACTAATTTTTTAACGTAATCCGGAGGCTAACTTCTAAAATTCCCTTATTTGGGTTCATATATTGAAGACAATTCAAACTTTTTACTATAACAATTTAGTTTATGGCCTGTTATTTCCAGGGGTCAATGTTATAGGATTCTTAATAGAGTATAAAATGGGATAGACAATTTTACTAAGCAATTTAATTTGGTAGGAACCATTCTAACCCCTACCTAACAGGCAAGTTTAATTTTATATTCCCTCTCTTTCCTTCTTTAAGTAGTCATTTTACATTTAATTTGTTAACATTCGATCCCTATTTATCAGTTGTCTATGAAAACTTATGCAATAGTGAGCTTATCTCAATGTGTTTCAATTGTGTATCTTGGTTGTTGTTAATGGTTTAACATTATCACTTGATTCATTTCTTTTCCCAAATTATACAACCATAAAGGTAGAGTCACACCCATCAGTCGAGTCACAGTTCAGTCTCAGTTGCATCCACTATCCCACAGTCATACAAACAGGGAAAATACATAAAATAATACATTTTTTGACTGTGACATGACTGAAAATTGACGCACCGAAACTGATGTGTGTGAATAGACCTTAACTCCTACAGGATTGGCAAAAAAATATATATTACAGCAATCCAGAATTTAAAGTAAATAAATGTAAAATGTATACCTTTATTCTGATTAGTATACATTGTATTTGAGCTCCATACCAATTTGTAAATAGTAAATAGTATGCTACCTCATACAAACTGTGACATAAGTATGGACCATCTTAATCGATAAAAAATTCCGGCCGTAATCAGTCGAAAGTGAGTTGTTATGGACGGGACGACATTTGGCGACAATTTTTAAGTACCTTATGAAAAAAAAACCAATGTTTTCATGCAGAAGATGTGTTTTTGGGAATGGTGGAGATTTTCAAGCTGTTTTAAATGGTAATGAGAATTGAATTTTAATACAGATTTAAAAAAATGAACATAATTCTTCTTCGGTGGTTTAGATAATGTTACAACTGCTAAAATGATTGGATGTTCTGGTTGAATTTGTTGACATTTTAGTATCATAATTGTTAGTGTACCTAGTAATTGTCAATGTTTTTTTAAACCAATTTTTTTAAATATTATATATATTTATATTAAATATATTTATTTTAAAAATATTTTTTTAAACCAAGCTGATTCCTTTCCATATCACTGGGTATACACATTCCAATCTCTTACAATCTAATGCATGGTTTAGAAAACCCGTCAATCATTTTTTAACCTTCACTTTTTAGTTTTTACTTTGTCTCCCTATATTGAGAAACTATTGTTTTGTCAAAATTTCGGAGTTTGAGTTATAGGTGGAAATATCCATTTTGGTTCCTCCTGTGTTGCACATAAGAATCTATGATATATCAAGGAATTTTTCTAGTTTTTTGGAAATTTTCATTTTTAATGGAAATTTTCCTATTAAAATATCCATAAAATAACGGAAATGTCAGAGTTTTACAGATACTGCTCAAACACTTTTTGATCAAAATTGAGTACCGGTATGTTATTGTCTTTTAAACTCGAAACAAAATGGTACAGTACAAGCTTTTGTGATTTTCCCCATAAAATATAGTAACTCCCACTGCTTGCCCATCATAAGGGTTGTTCACAAGATAACGGGAGGATGTATGAGTCAGATTGATAATAAGGTTTTTTTAGATAAGTAAAATGAAAAATTTTAGCAATGTTAAACATTATATGATTTTATTTTTCTAGTTTATATATAGTTCTTATATAGCCCAAAGAAGTTTAGAGACCTCTTTTCAGTCAAGCAAAGTTTTCAGGTGTTATTCTTCACTGATGTTTGAAAGAAATGTTGTGATAAGCCATTTCAAGTAGAAATAAATAACTCAATTGCTTTAACTTTTGGAGGAGATGGGTTTGACGAAACAGTTAATCTTTGTGCCACAATTTTGAAAGGAAAAAGAGTTACATGAAGTAAAACAAGGTGAATGAACATGAAGTTAGAGTGACCATGCAACAGTATGAGGTTGCTGGGTGTCTGTTCGCACAAGAGTTGTTCTACAACATGCAAGACCATCATGTCATGACAATAACAGTCAGACTGCTTCTTGTATTCAGTTTCCATTGAGAGTGTATTATAAATATATCATGCAGATTTGGAACTATCACTGAAATACTGAAATTACAAGTAGAGGAAAAGATTGTAGAAGCCTACCTGGAGTTCATGAAGTTTTGGCTTCCCTCGATGTAATGGGCTGATTGAAAACTCGTTAGATCTTTGTAAAAACTGTTTCTGCTCGATCGAATACTCTTGTTCCTGCATTCTTTCCTGTTGAAGTTTCTGTTGGTATAGGTGATCCTGATTGTAATCCTTTTGTAAACCGTATGAATGGTTAGTTATTCTATCCCATATCTGCCTCTCTTGCTGTAAACTTGATATGTGGTCCAACTGGCTTTTACTATAATTTGTTTTATGGTCTATCGTTTGTTGCTGTAAATGTTGAGGATTTGGCTGATGACTGAGTGGATGATTGGTCTGATGGTTCATATTTTGATTTTGTTGTTGTTGGTTTAAGTTTTGTTGGTTAATTTGTTGTTGTTTTTGCTGTTGCGTTTGTTGTAGTAAATGGTCTTGCTGATGTTGCTGCATCAGTGATTGTTGTTGATGAAGTTGCTGATTCCGTTGCTGCTCCTGGGTTGCTTGCAGTTGATGTTGTTGCTGCAGCTGTTCTTGTAGCTGAAACTGTTGATGTTGATTAAGCTGCTGCTGTTGCTGCTGGCTCTGTTGTTGCTGCTGTTGTTGACTCGGCTGTGGTTGCTGTTGGAGGGATTGTTGTAGGGTTTGTGGTTGTTGCTGCTGTTGTTGTTGCATTTGCTGTTGATGCTGTTGAGCTTCCTGGGCCAATTGTTGCTGAAGTTGTTGTTTTAGCTGTTGTTGCTGTTTCGCTTGCTGTGCTGCTTGCTGCTGTTTCATTATCAGCCCAAGTTCAGAATTCTTTCCAAGGAACTGAAAAGAATGAAATGCATCCATTATTTACAGTAAAAGAGAGAATATTGTACGAATACTGTCAGAAAACTGAGGCCTTCAAAGAGCTCCAGCCGTGGCCAAGTGACTTGTTCAAATCGGATAAACTGATTAGGCCTACTGACTTTTTGTGTATCCAAACACTCTTTTCTATTCATGTTCTTTAACTGGCAAAAAAAATTAAAGGGTTGACTCCTTAGACAACAAAAAGCTTATGACAGAATGTGATTCATACTTGTTGAGAGTGTCAATACTACCCTCAAAGTCTTCGGCTATTTTAACAAGAAAAATCGTCACATGGGAGTGGGGACCGGCTGGAATAGTAGTAACAGAAGTAAAATACAAAACAGTAGGGTCAGATTTGAACTACGTCACTTGACCTTGTTGGAGACCTTAAGTTTATTCTAAGTAGGTATTTTATATGCACTGAGTAACAAATGTATGGCTCCAATTGTGTAAAATATAAACTATAAAGACCAAAAACTGAAAAATCCTTCTCTAACTTAATTAGTACTTTCTTTAACTACCTAGCTTCAAACAGTCAAAATAATATAAACGGTAAATCTTCCAAAAGTTAAAAGAGTAATAAATAAAACCAAGGCAATTTCAATGTACAGTATTCAAATTGTAAGTCAATGTATGCGAAATTAAAGTATTCCTGAAAAATTCCTGTAAAAATGAAAACTAAAAAAGTATATTTTAGCGGTCAATGTAAAATTAATGTCACTGAATTATCAAGCAAGTTAAATATTCATAATTAAAAAGTTAAGTGCTACAAATCCATGTTTGCGTACATTTTCTCAATTTTTCTGTAACTGACATGTCATAGCGAGGGGTCTACTTTGTGTCTTGCTGTTGGTATTGTTTTTTTTACACGATCATAGTATCACAAAATAATTGCTCAACATGAAGTGTGAGGAAAAGATCACGCAGGCTCTTGCAGATTTTAACATGGCCAATAAAACACCTAGAGTCAAAAAGTTCATTAAGTAACCATACCAATGGTAATTCGTGAATGAAATGCTTTCCTTATGTGGTACACATATATTTTTGTAGTAAGAAAATAAATAATTTCTTTGATACACTAAAAATATTTTCCCCAAGCAAGGATTATTACTGCTTTAACTGCTGTTAACTGGACTTTGTATGAGTGGTGAAAAGTGTGGATAAGTTCTACCCACACCATTAAATTTTTAAAAGCTATTAAATTAATGGACGAATCTCTATTTTACATAAAATAATCAAAAATTGTTAAAGTATATAGGTAGTGTGCTATAAAACAATAAAGAAATAATCCATTATTTATTTATCCCTTTGTTTTGGCCACGAAAAACATAGCTTAGTCACACACTAGGCATATCTATTAAATAAACAATTATTATTAGTTTCTTTCTGAAAATACTTGTATGAGTACAAAGAAGTATTAAAAAGGGAAAAAAATAATCAACAGTTAGGGCAGCAGCAAGGAGCAAAGCACACACTTTAAACTTTTTCAATAATATAGTTCATCCTTTTATGTGAAATCAAAGTTTATAAATGAATGTGTGTGATAATTCATAGAGATAGGTGGCCAAGCATTTAATAAGCTTGTATTAATTAATGTAATAGTTCAGTCAAGATCAGTTAGATTATAGTTACATGGGTTACATAGCTCTTATGTTAGACAGTATACATTTACAAACTAAATTAAATTTATAAAAATAAACCAATATAATACTTCAATACATTATTGGAGAACTCACTTATTTTTTTTTGGATTAATTGATTATGTTATGCCTATATACCTTGGGGAATTGGGAGGGAAATATCCAAATTTGACCAATTTTGTTTGTAATTGTTGATCAATATAGGCTTCAATATTTGTTAGAATTTTTTAACCAGAAAAAGTATTTTTTTACTTCAGATACGGTAGATTATCTACATATGAAAAAAGCTGTATATTGCTGAGTGCATTATATAACATATTACATTAATTTAAAATGTAAAAAATGTTGGTAAATAAAGATTTCTTACGTGGTCAAGATCCACACCATTCCTTTTGGTTGAATCGGAAACGGTGGATTCTTCTGTCCTGTAAAAAAAAAAAAAAATACATATCAATAGAATTGTAATAAAAATACTCTACATTATGCTATAATATTCGTAAAATATAAATAAAAGGCATTAATCCAGCAAAACCCATCCTACAAGGGTTCAGGCCTTTAATAAGATAGTCCTTTGGGTCCAGTAAAGGTTCTAAGGAGGGAGGGGTAACAGGGGCAAAAGCTTTCTCATTGGACACTGGGAAAATAAATTTAGGTACATACATTTAGTTCTAAAAACATAATATACGTTTTCAGATACAGTTCTAGATGTAAAAATGGCTTTAGACAGTCACAAAACAAATCGCCGGGTCCTGTTGAGGTAAGACCTGTTTGTTTACAGGAAGGTTTAGATATCCTTATTCCTTTGCTGTGCAAGCTTTTCCGGGCAAGTTTAGCCTTAGGACACATCCTCTCAGGATGGAGCTATTCTTGCATAGCACTCATTCCTAAACCAGGGAGGGATAGATACACAGATCCCTCATCCCTTAAGTCATTCAGACCCATCTTCATTCTTCCTGAAGATCCTGGAAAAATTTGTCTTAAGATATGTGGGAGACATATCTCTTAGGATAAATCCTCTTCACACAAATCAGCATGCGCACATCGCAGGAAGATCATGCAAGACTGTGTTGCACCAATTGGCAAGCAAGATTGAGAAAGCTCTAGAGGGCAGAGAGGTTGCCATCCCCTTTAACTAAACTTGAACAGGCAGTGTGGAAGTACTTTGCTGACACTCCACATTCTCAGTCTGAGTCAACACAGAGTCCTACAACTTCTGTAGAGCTTCAGTAAAACAACTTGATGTTACTTCATCATCTATCAACACCTGTAAAAACTTCAAGCCACCAGACATGTCTAAATTTCCTCCACTTTCATCAGCATCAGCTTCATAGTGGTTGTGTTGGGCATGAAAACCCAAAGTCTGGACTCAAACTCCACCGGGTTAGCGTCGTCTGTTTTCTTAACTGATCAGTTACCATAAATGTCTCGTATTCGTGTTTGTGTCGTGTTTAAATGTTTATTTATTATTTTCGTGTAAAGTATATGACGCTCTTCGTACCGAAACTAGTTGTGCTAACAACAACATTGGATTGCTTAATAGCAGGTATTTAAACCTTTTCTAATATTATTTGGCAATCCGGAGGCTAACACCTACAATGAAAAAAAAGCCCAAAGCAGAACATTAGTGGCATCGATCGATCATGTGAAAAGTCAGTAGCTTTTTGATGGTTCAAAACTTTGCTGGTTCGGAAGCTGTTCTTAATCATTGGGCTTTAAATAAATTATCTTGGCTAATGAAACAGCTGATCTTAGTCAGTAACAAAGCTTCGCAGGTCATCTCACTCCATTCTATACTTTGCTCATATTTGAGTTGAAAACACAGATAGGTGGTGCTCCCATCTCAATTGATATTGATAATGACAGTGAAAAGCTTGTGAAAAGCCGGAAAATACATAAATCTAAAATTTAAATAGCACACCAGTGCAGATCCACAATTCCAACTAAGTCTACGTTTCAAATCCAGGGTAAAAAGAGCACCGCCAGCAATTATTGATTTACATTTCAACACCAATATATAAGAGGGTGAAAAAGAAAATTGAATCTTTCTTTAGAAAAAAGCTTGAAGTTTTTGTGGCTTTAATCATTTTAAGAGATACAAATTTAAACATAATAATTTTTATATAGTAAAAATAACTGGATACTGGATATGATGGACTTTTCTTTTACTCTAGATATACAACTAGAGTCTGGAGGGGGAGTAGTAATAATGGCAGATGGAAGAGAGAATAATGGAACAATGGAATAACGGAAAGAGAAATAATTGCTGCCAGAGAAGAACGCGACCAGAGTTTCAACCGTTGGCAGCGCGAATAGGACGCTGGGTTTAGGAGACGTAGGACAGCCCCAATATTGCGGTCAGATATTCCAGGCATCAGCATCAGATATTCTGAGCATGGTGCACGGGTACTTCCAGGCCCTTTTGCACAGGTGCCGTTTTTGGAAATGGCTGCCAGCTCAGACTGTATGTACTGTGCCGGCATTGCAGACATGGCCGAACACACCTACTTCTTTTGCGACAGACATGTCCGACGAGCCTCTTTGAACTCTGATATCGGTGTCAACATCACTCCCGACAACATTATTGGAGCAATGCTCCAGGGAGAGGGCACCTGGAACTGTGTCAAGCAGTTCGCCGAGGCCATACTTAGGGCTAAGAAGATCGGTCTCGATCGGATTTAGCCTTAGGAAGAAAACAAGAAGGAAAGTCCTAATGGCATAGTTAAAAAGGCCCAGCCCGAAGTAATGTGCTAAATAATTCCAGGCTAGTGTCCTAGGAGATGAGGGGTTTTTTAGCCGGAAGTCCAAGCACATTGTGCCCACGGGAGTCCGGCGCTTCTGAGAGGACATTGAGCCTCTCAGTGTGTGTAAACAGATTTAAACCTCCCTGCAAAAATAAAAGTTTAGGTGAGAAATAACTAGGACATGACAAATGCAATACAAGAGATGATTTCATTTAGAGATGTAACAAATATTCGGTTACTATTCGGTATTCGGTCTGTTTGGCCAATTTTTCAGTATTCGGTATTTGGCCAAATACTAGTTGACATTCGGCCCGATACCGAATACTCATTTTTAGTTATAATTATTAGACTTTGTGCAAAAAATAATACCTTAATAAATTAATTTGAAAAGATTTTTATTATTTTAAGAACCAACATTAATTTTCAGAAGTTTGCAAATTAATACTCAAACTTAATTAATAGTAATCTAGAGAAAACCGCAGCGTAAAAATAAATATAATATCCGAGAAATAATCAAATTTATGATTTTTGATTGAGTAATACAGTATGTTGAGCTAACTGATTCAAACGATCAATAGCTCAAATTAAAGCCTATAGCTTACTGATTATTTTGAGTCTAAAACATATGGAAAAACATGAACAATACTAGAGCTATTGAGTTTTAATCATATAAAAACCTTTTAAAAAATAATTTTTATGTTGGTTGTTCACTTTGCGTTAGCTTGTAACTCGTCCGATTTGAATAACTAATAGCTTATATGAAAGCCGGTATTTCACTGAAGGTTCTTAGACTAAAATGTATAGGATTATATAATTATAACTGGTGAAGGTACATCTTAAAATGAAATTTCATTAACGTATACACCGAGTCTGTGCGTGCATGACTTCAATTTGAGACCTCAATCATGAAAATCGGTCGGGTAGAAAAGCCAAACAAACTCGGAAAAAAACAATTTTTTTAAATATATAAGATTGTGATGGTGATGGTGTGAAATTATGGTGCAATGCCCCTCCCCGTCACTATAAAAAAGAGACAATTAGTGGTAATGACTTGTATATGAGTCATAGCATAGCTAAACCTAAACATAAAAGAACTACAACTGGGGCAGAATATTCGGCCGTCGAATATTCGGCCGTCGAATATTCGGCGCTTCGGCCTAAGACCTCACCGAATACTCGGTATTCGGCCAAAAGTACTATTCGTTACATCTCTAATTTCAACTATACGAGTGGAAGTTAAGTATTATTAATTAACTTAAACACACAAAAAAGATGCAAATGACAAGGTAAGTAAAGACAATGCTAATAATTACTTAATAAATGCTTAGACAAATAATACCTATAACTTAGAGGGGACAGCCCAAAGAACTCGTTTGATGTCTTACTTTGCAGATTTGGTTGTATTACGTTATTTTACCACTACAGTAATGTATACTATAAAGCTTTTCATAACTATCTATCAAATATTGGCAAACATTGTGTTGTTGTTGAATGACTTTTTACCATTCAGATCACAGTGCCCAACTGTTAAAGTCATCCAGTGATGACAGTAATAGTCATAGTAACGTTGAAACGCCACAGTAAGCATAAGAAAGTTCACTGAAAATAAAAAGGCCTTTAAGAATTATTGAAGCCTACAGTTTGGGAGTTTGTAAGCTCCATTTAAATTCATGTTTGAATATTTTTCAATGTTTAGGCCTACATAAAACCATAATTTTTTATAACATTAAAAATAGGTGAATATGCAATCACTTTATAATGGAAAGAAGGAGAAATATAAATGTTCGTATTAATTGGTAAACAACAAAAAAACCGCCGTCTGATTGCAACTTCCAACTAGGAGGGATTCATATTGCAGTCTGCCTTACATATTTCAACACTTTAAATGCACATGTCAAGAGTTCTGGAGTGGACAGAGTTTTATCCCCACACAATGTAATATTAAGGTACTGTAAACGTGGTTCATTATTAGAATAACATTGCATTTATTTTTAGAAGACTAAGTTGTAAAACTTGTATTTATAATTAATTGTAATATAATATCATTACATTTTAATATAAATGTTTGACAACATCCAGTGTTTAAAACGTGAATTGTGCTATGATTATTCAATAATTAAATTGAAAAATTGAAAGACGAGATTTCAAATGTATTCATCTGAAATAATGAACAGTAGATAAGTTAGGCAACCTATTTCATCAAGGTCATTATGAAATATCTGAGGATAAATAGCAATCTTCTGCTAACCTGGTTACAGTACCTTACCTTGAGTATCAAATCAAGGAAATAAAACAATCAATCAATTCTCTGACGGTGATCTGTATTTTGGTGTGTTTTCTAAACTGGACATGAATGATGAGTCTACAAGGGAGTAAGGCGAACTGCCTAGCTTTATTACCAGTTTTTAACCACTATAAAGCTCCCAAATTTTTAGGGGTTTCATTTTTCCCCCAGGTTCGTTTTTCACATTACTTCAGGCTAGACCTAGGGGTTGCGGCAATATCACATGGATAAAAATCCATTGATGATTTGGCTGGATTTGAACCCGAGACCTCAGGGACCGAAGTCTCACGCTCTAACCACTAGACCAGCTCTACTAGGCAAACATACTAACCACTAAGCCAACAAGCTGTATCTACCTATAATACATTTTATGAATTGAAACTACACATTGTTAAGAGAAAGAAAACAGCATTTTCATATTTAAAGTAAATTGATGCTAACCTGGTGGAGTATGGTGATCTTGAAAAACTTGAATCGGAGTGTAATGCCTTGGAAAGCTCTCCTCTGCCATCCCTGCTGTCCAGGCTCCCTGCAAATACAATATTGGTTATAGTAAGTAACTTGATAATTAATTGTTAGTTTAGAGATCCATGGCAACGTTGTCATTGATTTGTGTCCTGGTATTGCCTATAAGAGTTATTGGAACAGTTCATCTGTTTATCCACACTGTACAAACCCCTTGGTATGCTTGATATGTACCACGCAGAGGCTTGATACCCATTTGGACGAGCGAACTGCAAAAGCACTTTATATACAAGGTTAAAAGTAGACGTCCACCCCTATAACACAGTTATTTTTGCATTATTTTATTAGATTGACAAAAATGTTTACATACTGTTAATTCATTTGATATTTGGTAAATATCTCTTTTTCTTTTCAAAAATGTATTTAAAAGTCAGGGTTTACCTGTTACATAGGCTCTGCTGGAATGCTAAAATAAGGAACTTTTACAAATTAATATATTATAGTTAAGTCTCGTAAACCTGGCAACTAATAACCTACACAGTCTGAATTTCATGGTAAATCAATAAAAAAACTTTACCATGAGTAGGTACCTCAGGTGGCAAAATATGGAACTCGGTAGTTTAAAAAGTTATACAATGCCAGAGGTGCCCATCCCCCTCCCCCCTAAGGTCAGGGGCGCACCCCCCCCCCCCACACATTTCATACGTCAGATAACCTAACCTAATCAAACTTGCTGATTATGAAAAAATAGAATTAAGGTTTACTGATCAAATCGATATTAATTTTCAATTTATATTAGGGTAGCCCAGTTATGAAACTGTACCTGGTCTCCATGACATCCTGCCCACTACACACCCTTCCACTAATACCCCTCCCCTGTATCTCGGGGGAGCCAAACGGCACTCGGGCCTATCTGACGATTTTGACAGTTTTTTATAACCCCTACGGCAAGGAGTAGAACGGCACTCGCTCCGTTTCCATTTCATACTGCCCCTTAAACCCCCTTCTAACTTAGCAACCTGACTCCTCACAAAACCAACACCAACAATTCAAAGACTTTCTAAAGTAAAAAAATATAGCTAACTGTAAATAATGCAGTGTTAATAATTAGGATCATTCTTTTTCCAATTAAAAATTATTGGTACGATGTAATATTCCCGATATTTGGGTAATTATGAATTGAGAAAATTGAGAATTTAGGGAGGGTTTCTTCTCCCAAACCAGAAGTGGTGAAATAGGCCACAAACTTATTTTCAACCTTGATTGAAATCAAAATGTTACTAAGACGTATGAACGTTAATTTAACGAAGGTTCGTCTTGATAGCATACAAAAGAGATAAAGCAGCACCAGGGATGATTGAAACTCATTTTCCAACGGCTTAGTTTCTTTCTCTGAATTTGAGTATCGATGTAGGTAAAAAAAATTGAATATACTTCTACATAGTAAAATATATGTTGGATAATATTTTTTTTTTATTTTGTAGTTCTAAAGCAGTATGAGTTTATCCTATCATGCAAGTAATACCTAATGACTTATTTTAAATTATTAATTGTATAAGTTATTGTAGTTTTTTACTCATTGTCTATTCAAAAATTGTAAGAATATATAAAAGTAAGAAATCTAAATGTGAGCCAACTAGGACCTAATATAAAGAGGGGAAGGTAGTAGGATGAAATCTTCTAACAAACAACCCTAACCATACTTGAGGTTTTCAACAAGGGTTTGCTTAATTAAGAAAGACATTTCTCAGAACTACTCAAAAATATGTTCCTTCATTTATTTAGAATTCTGTTGTTTAATATGTACTCTGCAGAGACTAGGCCTACACAGCAAGCTATTAAAATGTCCAAACCAGCATTCTCATATTAACTTTTAACATTTTGGACGTCATGAGTCAAAATACAAAAAAGAATAATTCCAATATTTGTTTAAAATAATAAATGTAAATGATAAGATCAGAGTTCAACAGTAAAATAGTTCAACTATCAAATTGAGTCAATGAGTTAACACCTGGTGAAAAATATATACATTATAGCCTACTAATCTTTTCATTTAAACTCAGCGTACAAGATTTGTTTGGTCAAAAATCTTAAATTTTACCCTTAGTTACTACTGTCAGAAAAACTCATAATTTTATCTCTATAGCCTATTTTAACCACATTTTTATAGAGTGAGACTTGCTAACTAAAGTGACATTGGCATCTGAGAAACGTTTTGGAAATGTTGACAACGATGAGTTTATTGGCGTCTTTTATTTTATAAATTTATAGTCCCTACACTGTAATTTTTAATATCTACAGTATTTGTTTGAAAGGCAATTATAATGTTTTTGAAGCATCAGGAGCATAATGTTGATCTAATTGCTGTTTTTTAGAACTAGAATGAGAATTCAAATAGTAACAGACTGTTAAACTTAATAAAGGAATTTCATACTTCTTACTCGTCCAAGTTAGCTTATTGCAAAATGACCCCTACAGATTAAATGGACATAAAGTGGGTTATAGAAATTGACATTGTGTCACTATTATAGCATTACAGCACCTGATTTCTCTTAATCTGTATTGGCAAAGCTGTCTACCTCAGGAAATTGGTCATTGGTATAAAATTGTATTTAACCTAGAGAGGAGGAGAATGTCGATCAAGATTACATAGGTAACTGAAGTTCTTTTAGAAATGTCTAGCATAGCTGCCTATTCCACAGTCCTAAAAAAGGATTGAAAACAACTGAATGTTTTTCTTGAGATTAATGTTTTATTTAGGCTATAGGCTAATTTAGCGAAACAATATTGGGTGCAATGTGTGTCTTAACCCTTAGAGTGCCAGGCGAGAAATAAAAGTAACGCTCAAAAAATGCCGATGATTTTTCCCGAAGGTCGCGCTAAAAATGCCGAGCGCGATCTGGCGATTTTTAGGTTAAAATTTCGTAAAAATCGAATTTTCGATATTTCGACCAACGAAAATCGATGTATCGCATCTAGTAACTTTCGACTCAATGTTAATATATGGGTTAAAAGAATCCGAGTATCCATTCGGTTGTTATGACAACTGTTCGATCATTACGAAACGTCCGGTCAGCCGGACGTTGGCACTTTTGGCTCGTTCTAAAAACGTCCGGCCGGCCGGACGTCGGCACTTTTGGCTCGTTTTAAAAACGTCCGGTTCCCCGGACGTTGGCACTCAAAGGGTTAAAATTCTAAATACAAATCCTATTGTTCTTACCTTGAATGGTCTGAATGGCTTTTGATTGCATCTTTATAATTGAACTATAATTTGGTAGCCTACAGTATCAACTTGCCACTTACCCGGTACCGGTACTTCAATCGTAGAAATGTTTTTGAAATACGTCTTTAATCCTTTACAGATTTTAGGTTGACCAACCCTGGCTTAAAAAAATGAAGAAGAGTTGAGCTATTGTTGTAAATTAGTCCATGAAATATTCTTGTTGAGTAAACAAAAATCCTACAAAAAACATCTGTGTCCTTGACTTTTCAGGTTGCACTGTCAGCCCAACTTGATAGGAGTAAATTGTATTAAAATCTGTGCTATTAAAACAAATCTTTCCTCTTCACTGTATGCAAACAGGTAAGAAAGTACCCATTCTGTATGAATTACAACTAGGCTTATAGTGGAATTTAAAATACGGTATTGTATGAAGTGGACGTAAATTACTTAACATAGGTCTAATTTAAAGGCTGATCGATTAAGTTTGAAAAGGAATGCAGACCAACATTTCAAACCACATTACAGAAATTTTGTATACAGTATATCAAAGCACTATTTTCAATTTGTATACTGATCAATAACCTAGAAAGGTTGAGTGTATTTTAATGTTAAACTAAGCATTTTCAATTTTACTAGATTAAGTTACATTTAATTTTCAGTAAAAATAGTGAATGTTTAAATGTAAGCCTACTTGACAAGTAGCCTAAGGTATATATCAAGTCAAACAGGGTATTGGCATAAAATCATTTTGATACTATGAAATACCCATGCAGGGCCGCGTTAAGGGTCATTGGAGCCCTGGGCAAGCCCCAAGAGCAGCGCCCCCCTTTTTTCCTAGTGCTGGCGGGCGGTGTTGAGGGCACCTGGCAGGCGCCCGCTGGGTGCGCCCAAACCACCGGCGCCCCTGGGCATATGCCCAGTCTGCCCGTTTATATAAGCGGGCCTGTACCCATGTAACTAACTGTGGGTGTTTGAGGTATAGCCAATAAAAGAACAGACATGTTTTAATGCAAGTACAGAATCAAGTTAAATTTGAATTTAGTAAAAAGTTTACAAGCCTCCCACTAGTCTAAATGGTCGGTACAGAATAATCATTCAAAGAGTCGAGAATACCAGCAGGTCAAGTATCATCACGTTAATACAGTATGAACGAGCCAACAAGTAGCCGAGTAACAGACTGGAGTCATGTTGAGTAAACATATTTACTTGAAAAAGTAGACCGTAAGCTCTCACATCGCTGATGACAGCAATAAATAGAAACCTTAGCTTGGCATAACTTATTATTCTGTTAAAAGTTTAAACTAGC